GTTTATTTATTGAGACAAATGTGTTTTAACTTGAAAATTTTGGTTGAAATTTCACGGTGTTACATGCTTAGTGAGTTCCCCATATCATACCCCCATACAATCCACATGATCACATAATCTATATTAGCTCTATAAGCTACACATAATATATAAGCCATGCATACAAACATATAAGGATGCCAGGGAAACCATCCAAGGTCTTACACCAAACGCCACTGGAAACCCCCACGTGGTCTTAACTATCTGCCATGGGAACCCCCCCCCCCCCCCAACATGGTCTTTGCTAGCCGTCATTGGATCCAGTGTTGCAAAACTCGGCCTACTCGGCCGAGTACTCGGCCGATTACTCGGAATCGGCCCTCCACCGAGGCGAGTAATGTCAACTCGGCCAAAAAACTCGGATTTAGTCAAAATCGGTCAAACTCGGTCAAAAATCGGACAAACTCGGTCAAACTCGGGCCTACTCGGTCTTACTCGGGCCTACTCGGTCAAACTCGGCCAACTCGGTCAAAATCGGTCAAACTCGGTCAAAGGGTCAAAATTATCATAAAAAGAGAAAAAAATCAAGAATTTCAAGATTAATATGTATAATGCACTTAATGATTTATTATTTAACACATACATGTGATTATTACTACATGTATATCTTAAATTTTCAGTAATTATCCACGTAGTGAGATAATTATGTGTATTTCAGTTTTTATGTATTCACATGTATCTAATTTTGGTTATATATTTCAATCAAATTATGATTTTAACTTATGATTTTGACATATATAATTTTCTAAAAATATTTCTACATGAATTACCGAATCCGAGTACCCCCCGAGTACTCCCGAGTACTCCCGGGTACTCGCTACTCCCCAGTCGACCGAGCAGGTACCGAGTAGCGAGTTCTACAACCTTGATTGGATCCCCCACGTAGTCTTGGCTAACTGCTGTGGGAATCTCTACACTGTCTACACTAACCACATAAATAACATACGAGCTAAACATGTAAACATACTAGGAAGCCATGGAAACCCTCCAAGGACTTATACCAAATGGCATAGGAATCTCCTCATGGTCTTAATATACTGCCACAGGAACCCCTCGGGGTCTTCCATACAAATGTCATACCAACATATCATATAATCAACTAACAATACCTATATCATGAAATGGGTCATCCTTGGTACCTTAGACACATTGGTATGGTGAGAAGGCTCACCTCATAAGAAATGCTGAGCTGATAAGATAAGTCCCAAATTTCAACTCCACCTCAAATGTCTACAACCATCATGTGATTAACTTGTCAAAATCCTGAAATACCAAAAATACCCTCAAGGTCAAACTTGGTCAACCCTGGTCAAAGTCCAAGTCAACAGTCCATGTTGACCCCAACTCATCTATTGCATCTAGCAACTTGTCGAGTTCCTTCAGAGTCCATAAAACTAAAATCTTGAGTCAACTCGCCGAGTTACCTGAGTAACTCGTCGAGTTCCTTAGTGTCCAGGAGACTGAAAACTCGAGTAGACCGAAAACTCTAATCAGTCCACCGAGATCAATCAGAATCCTGAAAACAGGTAAACCCTACCCAACCCGTCGAGTTAGCTATGCAACTTATCAATTCTCTTCAACCCTTTTCATGTTCAGTCCTTTCTAGTTGAATCCAAAGCTCCAAACTACAAATGCAGTTCCCTAGGGTGTAGTTACCACGTAAAGTTGCCAACTTTACATGCATGCAAAGCCTTAAGAGGATAAAACACTCAAATCTAAGCTTATGAATGGGTTTATGGCCTGGAGAAAGGCCAAAGCTTGATAAAGCTTGAAACTTTAGGCTCAAGGAGGCTTAAGGTGTCTAGATCTGAAGTCATAACTTCAAATCATGATCAACTCCGAAAGTGGCTCCCAAAATGGGTTAAAATGCACTAAACTCCCATGGGAGGAGATCTAAGAAACAATAGGTCAAGGTAGAGACTTTTCACCTCCAAACGGATGCTAAATCGGGGTAGATGTCAGATCTAAAGCTTCCACCTCACTTCAATCCCTTCAAACTTCGAGTTTCCTTCCAAAGAACACAAGATTCACTCTCCAAAGCTCACACACACTCAAGAAAGCAGTAAGGCATGACTAGGGTTTCTCTCTGGACAGTAAGGACGATGAGAGAGGCCACAAATGGGCCATAACTTCCTTAAACAGGGTACATACCCTTGAAAATTAGGGTTTCCATTTACAACGTCTACTCATCGAGTTGGGCCTTCCAACTTGTCGAGTATATCCTAAATCTCGCGTACAAAATGATCTCTACTCGACAAGTTCGAGTTCCCCAACTCGTCAAGTTCCAGTCTAAAACCCTAAAATCCTGAAAAGTAATTGATACCAGAAATGAGCATTACAAATCTCCCCCACTTGAACTAGACTTCGTCCTCGAAGTCTTCTGATGCGAACAAATCCAGGTAGTGCTCCCGCATCTCATCCTCCAGCTCCCATATCCACTCAAAACCCATTCGGTGCTGACATTGCACCTTCACTAGCCCTACCTCTTTATTGCGAAGGACCTTAAATTTCCTATCCAAGAACGCAACGAGCCTCTCAATGTAGTCCAGGCTCTCATCCACCTGAATGTCATCTAAAGATATAACCGTAGCCTCGTCAGTAACAGACTTCTGAAGCTGAGAGACATGGAAGATGTTGTGAATCTGGCTAAGCTCACTCGACAGATCCAAACGGTAGGCCACCTTGCCCAACCAGGCGGTAATCCGGAATGGATCAATATATCGGGGCCCCAACTTGCCCCTCTTTCGGAACCGAATGATACCCTTCCAAGGTGAAACTTTTAGCAAGATGAAATCTTCCACCTGGAACTTAAGATCCGAGGGCCGCCAGTCTGCATAGCTCTTCTGACGGCTCTGCGCGACTCGCAGTCTATCGCGTACCTGCTGGATCAACTCGGTGGTTTTAAGCACCACTTTGGTGCATCCCATGACTCGGTGTCAAACTTCACCCCAACAAACTGGGGTCCTACACCTCCGACCATACAATATCTCAAACAAGGGTCGGTCGATACTAGCATGATAACTATTGTTATATAAAAACTCTGCTAGTTGGAGGTATGTATCCCAGCTCCCTCCGAAATCCAGAAAGCATGTCTGCAACATATCCTCGAGCATCTGGATTGTTCGCTCGCTCTGGCCGTTTGTCTAAGGGTGATATGTAGTAATGAAGTGTAGCTGTGTGCCTAGTTCCTCATGGAACTTCCTCCATTGAGTATCCAACACCTCATGAAACTTCCTCCAAAACTGGAGGTGAAACGAACATCTCGATCTGAAACCACCAAAACTGGCACCCCGTGCTGAACCACCACCCCCCGATGTAAATGTTGGTCGACTTCTTAGCAAATATACTCTCAGTGATCGGTATGAAATGGACACTCTTGGTCAATTGATCAACGATGATCCATATAGAATCAACCCCACGTGCCGCCCTCGATAACTTTGTGATGAAGTTCATAGTGATCTCTTCCCATTTCCACATGGGAATGGGTAATGGTTGCATCTTGTCGTGGGGTCTCTGATGTTCGACCTTGACTTTCCAGCAAGTCAATCACTACTCTACAAACCACACTATCTCCATCTTCAAACAGATCCACCAATACCTCAACTTTAGATCCCTATACATCTTTGTGGCTCCTGGGTGAATCGAAAACTTTGACTTATGAACCTCCTCTAGTACTGTCTGTCTAACCCCACCAGCAAAAACCATAAGTTAATAAGTTGCTTTTAATGTCAATAATTATAAATTTTGTCTATTGATTATCTTTCAAATATATTCAATAGGATAATAAATTATTTTTAGTTTTTTTTAATGGTGAACGCATTAGAAACTAACAAAACGCTAGCACAAAAGAGAGTTACAGATTACAAGCATATAAAGGAAAACTATATCAATTAATCAAAGAGATAAAATTAAACATCAATCTATTCTTTACACAATCGAACACAAATATTTGAGTTTCATCCGCCACCTTGAGAGGGGGCCATCACCTCTTCTTAAAAACCAAGTCATTACGAGCTCTCCAAATAGCCTATAACACCAAGTATATTAACAGTAACATGAAATTCACTCTCTTCACATCAATAATATTCGAGGAAATCAAAACCATTTTGAGCTCATTGCGGTTATTGGGAATAGAAAGGAGTAAACCACTTCAATTACTAAACCAATACCATATCTTAGTTGAGAAAGAGCAATACAGAAAAATATATTCAACTGATTCATTATTTTCTCTACAGAAGTGACAAGTAACAGACTCCAACCCAACTTCGTTTTCCACAAGCTTGAAAGCCATCAGAATCCGATTACCAAGCATCCTCAAAACCAAACAATTATCTTTAATTGGAATCCATTTCACCCAATGCAAATATAATTATTGACATCCAAATTATTATCCATTAAATCCCTAAGAGATTTATACAAAATATATTTGACTAGCCAACCTTCCACTCCCATAAATCCGTCCGTGTTTCCAAACAAAGTTGTACCCGCCACTATACATGACAGCTTCTCCAACTCAGCCGACTCCTATCACTTCTCGAACATTCTCTTCCACAAGCCTTGAAAAACAACACCATCACCAATATTACTCCTATCCGAGATCTTGCAATTCATATCACTTTCAATCTTATACAACTCTCAGAATTCATTTCTTAAAATTACATCACCACACCTCCCCAAAGAAATCTTTCCAAAACTCCAAAAACTTTTTTAGGATTTTTAAAATAGAAAAGACGAAGAAATACATAAATGAAAAGACAACTTTTTCTTGAACTTCTCAATAAATTATTTTCAGTGTTAATCCATCATAAAGTGTAAACCGATATATAATTCTACTTGGCATCCTATGTGTCATCCAACATGGACACAATATGATTGGATGTTAATTCAACCGGTTGAAATATACTCTCATGACTTAATACAAATACCAATAATACTTTGCTACCTATTCGATACAATTAAAATTAAAAGATGAGTAACTAAAATAGCAAATTAACAATTATTAGAAGCCATTTTAGACATTAACCCTTGAAAAAAGGCTTCTTCAACACAAAATAACCAAAGTTCAAAACAACTCATGCTAATGTATTCACATGAAAAACAGCCATCAAAATTCAAAATAACAACCCACACACACATATATATGTCTATATATATAAATATATCTATATCTATATATTATCTATAAACCAGTCTTGTATCTTTTCCATGCAAAAGCTTTCCTCCTTTCTTCACTTCTTAAACGCTTAAAAGTCAAACCACCTCCTTTTGACATATAGGGCAGTTCTGACACCAAAATTCAAAAAATATATATAAAGGGTATTTTTGTAAATTGACACAAAAGAGAACCAATATTTTTTTTATTTTCTATTTTTTACCTTCTTCATCTTCAACCACTCACTAATGCATTTGATATGATACTGATGCAAACAAGGCAATGTGATCAATCTTTCACCAAAGTTGAATTCAGATTGACATATCACACAGCTAAAAAAAACAATCATGTTAAAACCATTATAAAAACAATTAAATTAAATTAAAAAAACAAAAAAGATAATTTGAAATTGTTCTTACTTCTCTTCTTTTTTCTTATTCTTTGAGAACAATTTATATCCATACTTGGAAGTTGGCAATTGAGAAATACGAGTTGCAGATATTCCTCTGTTTTCAACACCAATGGCTTCAGCCAAGTGTAGTAATTCCTACAAAGAACGGAATGGAATCAACCATTCCATTGTGTTAATTTTCCATTTCATCATGGAATAGCAAGTCCATAATATATTTATACCTCATATTGCATGCTATCAGGATCAATGGAATCTTGCATTGAATTCAACCTTTCTGAATGTGCCTGATGATTGAAGAATATCAGAGTGGATAATTTACAATTTTAACCTCAAATAAAAGAATTTTATTTAATACCCTTGAAGGAGTTGCTATAGGACTTTGTGTGCTTCCTGTATAAAATATAAAAAAATATGTTAATACATTTTTACATTTATTGATTTACAGATATATTTATTTTGGATTAAATGTTGTGAGTTGAAACAAACCGCTTGCAGTGCGACTGTGTTCAGATATGATGATGTCATCAAATCCCTCTCCTAATTCCTGCAAAGATCGAGCTAAAGCTTCATCAATGGCTTCCTGTGTCATGACACCTTCATGCCTTGAACATTCACCTTCTTTTTCTTCTTCTTCTTCATCTTCTTCTTCTTCTTGTAATAAATGACACAGATAGATGATGTCGTCATCAATGGCAGCTACTTTCTTGTTCTTGTCACGTTCTTGAAATGATTGATACATGCTTTCCTGTGTCATTGTTAATGTTATTCAATCTAAGAAGTAAGTTTACGATCTTGATTTTGATTTCGATTTTGATTTTGATTTTGATTTTGATTTTGATTTTGAATTTGAATTACCTGTTGCAAAAGAGCTTCTTCGTAACTAAGACCATCGTCGTCTCGAAAAAACTCTATCAAATTTTCAGGGATTTCATCTGGAAATCTGGAATTCAAATAGTGATTATGAAGGTCCATGCTTCTGCTCATGGATCTGTTAAAGAAAACACAAAGACGATTTGCAAAAAGGTTCCGATTTATACACAAAAAAACAAAATTGATGAGTGAGAAGAGAAAAGTGATATGATATGATATGATACAAGTAATTACCAGAAAATAGTTAAACTATGTGCATATGCTTTTTAGTGGACTTATTTGTAAGCGATTGTGATTGATGAATCAGAGTTGTATATATCTGTAGCAGATTACGACAATAAAGACTCAAAATTCCAAATCAGAAAAGTGTCTCATAAATTATCATAAAGTTGTATATTCCCCGTGGAAGAAATTCATTGCGTTACTTAATCATGAGGTGAAATCTGATTAATTTCTCTCACAAAAATCCATATTTATCTTTCGAAATCTGATGTTAATGAAGGAGATATGAAGATATGGTTAATGAATATTCGCATGCTTTCAGTGGGTCTTTTTCACCAAGGAAGACATGTAGGACCTCGATTAAACAACCCTCATTATGATTCAAAAATTAAACAGAAACCCAGAAAGATTAAGCGTGTAATCAGTTCTTCGAAAGTAGTAACATCGATTCCTTATTAAAATTAGATTGATTCGTGAGTTTTTCTTCAGAATAACTTTTGGGTTTGGAATTTAAACCCATTGTACTTAAAAGATCCAGTTCTTTAACACAATGAGACAAACAGTGATAAAACCTAAAAGACAACAGAGATGCATCTGAGAGATATAAAGTTGGGAAGTGGAACAGATCACGAAGATACCCAAACCAGAACAATCGTACGATTAGCACATTATTGTGTTTTTCGAGAATTTTAAATGAAACGGAAAGTCTGATAACCCTTTAATTAGTGTAAATAATTGGGAATCTGATTACAGATTCTTGTAAGATTCAAGAAGCATGTGAAATTGGGCATTTTACCTTTGATAATGGAGTTGAAGATACAGAATAATAAGAAGCTAAGAACAGTCGCTGCCTTTTGTAATGTTCACCGCCAAAGGTGAGCTTTTTGTAGGGGGTGTAAAAGAGTAGTGTAATTGAGTGTTAGTAGTTTGGTGGAGAAAAGGGGGGAGTGTGTGTGTGTTTTTTGCTATGAATGAACGATAAGCTCCATTATTATGTGTGCTCTGGCCTCTGCCTTTGGGTCCACCCTATCAAGAAAGGTCTGCCAAATTTACGGAAGGTGAAAAGGAAGTAAATTAGAATTTCAACGGATTTAATAAATTTATACATATACCATTATTCTTGGTGGCAATTGACAGTTGACAGTTGACAGTTGAAAGTCGGTTGCTAATAAAATTATAGTTTTATTTTAGCGGAGGAAACAGTTTTAGTCGGGAGCTAGGGGGAGGTAGAAAACAACTAAATCAAATTATAAATTACAAGGTGTGAAAGTTGAAATTGAATTACATAACCAATCTATCTAGTTAATAGAGGATATTTTTTTTTTCCGGTTGTTTATCTAACCTCGTAGACTAGAGTTGAATGTTGAATGTGATTTAGGCTTGTGGATGTACACATGAACCACCACAATACCCAAAACAAAGGAGAGTATTATGGCTTTAGCACTTCTTCCTTGGGGCATCCGTCATGTTTTGGAACATCTGCATAATAGATGTCATCCAAGGATGAGTTTAGTATCGGGAGCGTAGGCACCAACAACGAACTATACATTCTCATAATTTAGTTTTGATTGGGCATAATTTAAACAAATGCAAGGTTGTTTTGGGAACTACTTTAACTCAACACTAACATTTAGGGATAGAAACCTATTAGTCAGATATATTTTGTATCATTTGTACCATTGTGTATTGAGTTTAGCCTCATAGATCTATACGACCCTTTTGTATTCTCGACCCACTTCTCACGTATATATATTTGTTATTCTCAATGAAATTAGCAAAGGAAAAACAATTGCTTTTATGGTATCAAAGCAGTTATTTACTTTCCCTTCAATTTTCTCCTCAATTCTCTTCCTTCCTTTTCTTTCATCTTCCTGTCGGCCCTACTAGTTTCTTGTATCCTCTATGACGAATGATACCATTGAGAAACCATTTGCAAACACCAACATTCGCTATTACGTGCCAATCACTCTTGATCTCGAAGAACTAAACTTTGACCCATAGAAAGACCTCTTTGAAGCATGCTGCATCACGTTTGGTGTTTAACACCACTTGACAGACCTTGCTCCTACTAACCCATCTACTGACTGGTCCAAACTTGACTCAATGGTTAAGATTTGGCTCTATGGCATAGTTCACAAATCCTTGATTCAGATGGTGTTGAAGAAGGGCATGACAACATATGACATTTGGAAAAGTTTCAATGACATCTTAAATGACAGCAAAGATGCCCGAGCTATGGAGCTCGATCAAGAACTATGTACCATAACAATTGGAGACATGCCAATTCACGTGTACTGTCAACACATCAAGACCATTGTCGACCTCCTAGCAAATATCGATCAACCTGTACCAGAGAAAACATTGGTCACGTTCATGGTCAATGGTCTCAGGGAAAAGTTTGATTAACTAGCCGGAATCATCCACAATCAGAATCCTCTTCCACCTTTCTTCCAAGCACATTCGATCCTTATTCGTAAAGAACTTCGCATATCCCGTAAGCGCCCTCAACACGGAATTCATCGAGACAATTCCTCAGCCCCAACAGTACTCTACAACGGAAATACAGACCCTTCTCATACTCCCTTCACCTACTCACATGGAGACTACCGAAATCAAGATCGCCAACAGAATAATGACCGTCGGGGTGGAGATCGTCGGTATCAAGACCGCCGTAGCAATGAACACAGGCAAGATGAACATTGACAACAGCAACAAATTAGAGGCGGTGATAGGCACCAAACTCACGTAGTTAATTTTGCTCCCTGGTAAATGTGGGCTTCCCCACCACCGTGGGCTCCTCCTGCCCAATGGCTTTAATCCTTAGCTAATGTTTCGTGGGCTCAACAATAACACCCCTCAGCACCTTGGGCTTTTACTGGAGCAGGACCATCTCGTCAACAACAATAACATGCCTGTGAAAACCTAAAATTTTCATTCTGTACAAACATATCAAGTCAATAGAAGTCAGAGCAGTACTACTAATTTTCAAACTTTTTGGTTTAAATTTGAGTATTTTAGGATTAACACCTTAGGAGATATCAGGAGAGAGGATTCCCTAGGTTTTATTGTGCAACAAAGTCCCGACACATCAAAATATAGGAGTTTACGGCCTAAACAATGGTGTTTATGGCCGTAAACCCCAATGAAGGGGGGTATATAAGTGACACTTAGTCTTTTAAATCATTTTCCACCTTTCCAAGAGCAAACCCCAAACTCTCTCAAGTATCATCCCAGTTTTCTTCGAGATCTTCAACCTAGTAAGTGTTTCTAGCCCTTTCAAGTTAGTATATCATCTAATCTAGTGTTTTAACACACATCCATCCGTGAAAATGTTCCAAAAGGTTGATTCTTCAAGTTTCACCAAGAACATCAAGACCACACACTAATGTTCTTGGACTTTTGGCTCATTTCAAGCTTCTATATTGTAAGTGATTCTATCCTAGAGTATCATAAAGCTTATTTTACGTCCATAGATCAAGAAATCACGAGGAAACACCAAGATCAAAGGTGTTTACGGTTCAAGAACACCTTGGGTCGTAAACCCTTCTTTAGGGGCCAAATGTGTACCCTAGTCCCTTCCTTCCCTTGTGAAACTAGTCTAGACTCATTCCTTAATGTGTATAGGACTTGAAAACACAAAAATACCATAGTCCACGAGGGTTTACGACCGTAAACCCAAAGGGGAATGGTCTTAGGTACGTAAACCCCTAAAAGGAGGGAAATGGTGCGCTAACTTCTTCCTTAGGCTTATACATCAAGTGGAAACACTTCTAAGTACTTATAAGGCTTCAAATCAACAAATGATCAAAAGATTATGAGCTTACGGCTGTAAACTCAAGGGTTTACGGCCGTAAACTCAATGAGTTATGGTCATTAAGGCGTAAACTCATGAAAGGGGTTCTATTGAACCCTAAAATCAATGGTCTTGTCCTACAACACTTAAATGCACTCCTTAGCACTTATAACACTTATATAAAGTGTTTATCAAGTCCTATGATGTATTAACTTTGTTAATTAGTTGTTTAAAGACTAATTAGATACATATATATATATATATATATATATACCACTATATGTTAAGTAGGATCCTTGTGTGTGTACAAGTCTTCACTTGACACTTAGCAACCCTACATCAGTCAATACATCCAAACCATGAACTACAGGTGAGTTCATACCCCTTAATCACTGTGTTAAATGTTTTTAAATGCTTTTATGGGGGGGGGGGGGGGAATACAAGTTAAATCATGCTAGTTATTATATCAATCACATGTGATTAATAACCAACATACAAATGGATTTACTACACTTTTAGCTGTTTTATCAAACTGATTACTTCAAATAGCTTTCCAAAATGTTTTACTTGTTTAACCAGTTTTTATTAAACTATACTACGTTCTGTATGTTTTCTTCCAAACTCTGTTATACTTTGTTATCAAAGGAATTACTTTTGAAATGCTTTATAGAATGACATCAAGTCATTAATATTTATTTATTGTTCAAAACCCTTAAATGTTTTATAAAGCTTCTTTTATACTTTTAAATTGTTAAAAGCATGCCTATATATGTATAGTTATATAAGTAATGTTTGAAGGACTTAGGAAGGCTAGCTCGCCTTATTTCCTTTTCCTCATTGGGATGTGGCTTTAGGGTATCGGTTACCCTTCCGAAGGTCGTTCAACTATCAGTTATATATCATGTATACCTATATAGACATAAAAGTACCCTCAGTCAGTTCAGTACCTTTGGCTAGCAAAGTTATACCTTCGTTGATACTTGTACCTTGCTAGTAAGTATTATAGGTATAGTTAGGAGATACTACTTGCTATTCCTATTACAAGGATTTACACCAGAGTCAGTTCACACATGAGTCTATACTAAATGCTATATGAAGAGATACACTTTCATGGATACACTTACATGGATACACTTACTTGGATACACTTACATGGATACCTTTACATATACACCTTGTTAAAAGCATGCATGTATGTGTATAGTTATATAAGTAATGTTTAAAGGACTTATGAAGGCTAACCCGCTTTATTTCCTTTTCCTCGTTGGGATGTGGTCTGGTGGGTATCGGGTATCCATCCGAAGGTCGTTTAAATATTTAGTTATATATCATGTGTAAATATACGGACATAATAGTCAGTTCAATACCTTTGGGTAGCAAAGGTATACGTTCATATATCCCTAGTAAGCTATTATAGGTATAGTTTGGGCTTATATATGATTTGGTAATAAATATGGATTTTGACCTAACGATTCGTTGCGGAAGTCACCTTTAGTTCCAAACATAGAATAAGGACTACCAATCATATTATTACTTACTTACAACGGGTCTCATGAGAAGACTACTTACTTACAACGGGTCTCGTGAGAAGACTACCTACTTACAGCGGGTCTCGTGAGAAGACTACCTACTTACAGCGGGTCTCGTGAGAAGACTACCTACTTACAGTGGGTATCGTGAGAAGACTACTTACTTGCTTACCTTCTTTCACTTAAAGTCTTGGTAGAAGACTACTTTCAAAACAATCTAGTTTTGGTAGAAGACTACATGTTTATACTAGTAGGAAATATGGGATTTTCTAGGAAATTCAAACGTTTACACTTTTACTTATAAGACTTTTCATTAATACTTATTTAGATAACGACATTAAATACTTATGAATTCACTAGCTTTAAAGTTGATACTCGCTTTCAAAATAACTTGTATTCTCAGGTCACAAATAGATAGGTACCGATGCAAGGTTTAGAGAAGACGGAGCAGTCAAGACTCGTCTTTTATTTTGAGTATTCATTATGTTGTTATTACTATGAAAGAATACACTTGTAATTAAAATTATACTAATAATGCAATGGATGATGTTGTTGCTTGTTAACTACTTTGCATTGTTGTGATATTGTACATGACGTCCTCCACCCCCGAACGTTTCCGCCGTTCCGGTTTTGGGGTGTGACAATGCCCAATAGCATGCTGCCTTTCACACTTCATGGACTGCTCCAAATTCAAGACCCACGAACATCTCAGATCATGCAAATTTATTACCAGAGGTGTTTCAAACCATGAACCATCAAAACCCGACCAACTCGGGATGGTACAGGGACACGGGTGCAACGAATCATCTCTCGGCGGGTATAGGTAACCTTCACACTATTTTTAATAAAAGACCCATTTCGTCAATTCTCGTTGGTGATGGTTCTCCCATACCTATCACTAACACGAGACATAGCATTCTTCCTACTCCTCATCGCCCACTTCACTTACATAATATTCTTGTCACCCCAAATATAATGAAAAATATTATCTTCGTTCGTAAATTTACCACTGATAATGATTGTTCCATTGAATTTGACCCATTTGGTTTAACTGTGAAAGATCTTCGGATGCAC